GTGATCAGAAAATACTTCTGCATATTCAGTGATGCTTCATCACTCGTTCTTTACACACTGTAATAGTTTATTTTTCAATTTATACTTATGAGCTTGGTCTCAGGAGGTTTGTGGTATTTTCACATATCCATATAAGCTCTAAGTTTCTTAAATGTAGTGTCATGAATAATTGTCATCCCCCAAGAGGGATGTAAAGCCTACCAAGTTCTTTTCAAAAAAACTGAATAACCCTTATCTCACACCAGGGATTTCTTGGGTTTAAGTGTCTCCAATTAATTACTGCTGCCTCGTAGACTCATAAACTATCCAATATTTCCTGGAGAGATGTAGAGGCAGAATTCTTTCAGACAAGCACCTCCAGAAAACAACCCTTGCTCAGTACAGAGAATGCTTCCCACTGACTGTGTTTCTTACATTTTCAACAGCTACAGCCTCTAAAGTATTTGTAACTTTTTTATCTTCCCTTTCCCCCCCCCCCTTTCCCATGGTGTCATATCAGACCTGACTGTGTATCATTAACTTTTTGAAATGTCCTGGATATCATTTGGAGCCAGACTGTTTTCATGTGAAATCATTTTGAAGGATTTTAAATAAAAAGCTCTTACTCCATCTACTAAATCTGGTTTATGTTACTTCACCTTTCAGAGTGCCCAAACACATGACATCTCCTGAAAATCAACAGTGTATATACTATGAGGTGATACCTAATCTAGTTTATCCTATGAGAGGCTGATCAGTTCCCACAGAAATAAATTAAAAACACTGTGTTGACCTAGTGAAAATTAGATTTGACCCTAAAAGAGTAGGACTCTGCATACATAAACAGAGAGAACATGGTATTTCTGTCAGTGAGAATGAAAATTCAGGAATCTCATATTCTAGAGAAGGAGAGAGATAAGGACATAATTCCAGCGAAGTCAGCAGAGATAAACTGATAGAACTGCTTTCAGAATGAATTCTGACAAATGAAGTGAAGCCAGAGTAGCTGTTACAGCCTCAGGTTAAAATCGAGACACCAAATAAAGATGTTTTGCATGATAGAGACCGTTTATGAACATAAGGACATCTATTCAGCTCAGCACTTTCGTCTTTTCCCCCTTATACTTGGCATTTCTGATCTCACCTGGGTTTCCTACCTTGGAATTCTTCACAGCCATACACATGCTGTGCTCTGTGCTTAGGGATTTTGGGGGCTGCTGTGGATTCTGCGTGGACAGTGCGTGTGTCAGTGCCCGTGGCACCGCAGCGCTGCCTTTGCCTGGCTTTAAACTCGGATGTTAAGGCTTTGGAAACAGGATTTCATCCAGGGATGAGGTTCCCTTGTTCACCAAAGCAGAGGTCCAGAGGTCTCCCTGTGCTCTGCACACAGTCTTCCTGAAGTTCCTGAGAGCTTTTGCTCTCCCTGCTCTTGCAGAGGGAAGAAAGCAGCTGAAGGAGTGGAATTATCTGTGCTGTGACGACTGGCTGTGACTGGGCACCTCAGGGTTCCTGTGACAGCTCTGAAACCCTTCCTGGAGGCTTCCCCACAGCACACACCAGGCTGAAGCTGCTGCCACCTGCGCAGTGTGAAATGTCCCCTCCTCACCTAAAACTCTGCCCCACTGACCTCGAGTAGGAGGTTACTGTGCAGCTGCATCAACCCTGGCACAAAGCTGGCCCTCCCAGTCGGAGCAATCGTCGCTATGAGGTGATGAAGCAGCATCTGTTAAACCTTCAAATTCTTTTATACTTAGAAAAGACAGAGAAAACCTACCCAGAATCTGGACTTTTGCAGAGTCACAGAATCATAGAATCCCAGAATGGTTTGGGTTGAAGGGACCTTAAAAACCACCCAGTGCCACCCCCTGCCCTGGGCAGGGACACCTCCCACCAGCCCAGGCTGCTCCAAGCTCATCCAACCTGGCCTGGGACACTTCCAGGGATCCAGGGGCAGCCACAGCTCCTCTGGGCACCCTGTGATCATGCTTAAAGACTAGTTGCCTCCACTAAAGAAAACTGAGTTGCTGAGCCTACAGGCAGATTAAATGCTTTCTCTAGCTCACTGATATGGTTTTGCAAGTGAAAAAGTGTATTGGGTGTGAAGCCCAGCTGATTTTTGGTGGAACAGTTCTCATAACTGTAAAACTCAAAGACAGAAAAAACCCCCAATGTTCATTTCAACACTGAGGTTCTTCATTAAAACATAAAAGACATTAAGCATGGAACATAAATATTACTTTTAGAAGAAAGGGAAAATGAGGCTCCATTAGTAAAGACAATGAATAAGGAAACATAACTGAGATGGATTTGATTAATAGATAAGGAATGACAAAATAACCCAAGTAATGTTTACTTTCCCAGCATTAAGTAACCTGAATTACATTTTACTTCTCTAATAGATGTTTGCCACAGGGCATTTATCCACCATGTTGAAGAGTAAATTTATGTATTTCTTTATGTAAGTCTCAGTATCAGCAGTCTATTTTCAAAAGCAACCTTAAGGTCATGTAATGTTCTATATTTAGGGTCTGTGCCACAGCCCACTGGAGCTGAATCCCACTGAACCCCCAGCACCAAACGGAGCCTGGTTAATGGGAGATGTTCCATACTGGGGAGGGTAATTGCTCTCTGCTCTGCCTGCCATGCACAGAAATAGTGCATTTGCCACTTTTCTGTAGGTGAGAGAGTGAGTACCAAAATGATGACTCAGGGTCTCCACCAGGTTTTACAGCTCTACATATTTTTATATACACTTACATATGCATTTTACCAGGGCATGTAGTGATAGGAGGAGGGGTAATGAGTTTAAACTGCAAGAGGGTGAATTGAGATCAGCTATTGGAACTCAGAGCAATGGGCCTTTGCTTCAGGTTTTGCTGAGACTGGGCTGACAGGGTCTGGGCAGCTGCAAACCTTTCCCTGTCCCGGCTGCTCTCCACGAGCTCCCAGCCATACCAGAGGCTCGGGGAATGCTTTGGGTTGAAGGGATCTTAGAACTCACCCAGTGCCACCCCTGCCCTGGGCAGGGACACCTCCCACCAGCCCAGGTTGCTCCAAGCCCCGTCCAGCCTGGCCTGGGACACTCCCAGGGATCCAGGGGCAGCCACAGCTTCTCTGGGCAGCCTGTGCCAGGGCCTGCCACCCTCCCAGAGGGACAAGGGAAGAGTCAACAGGAAGCATCTGAAACCGTGGGCCCGTATTTGTAAATTCTCCATGTATTTTGCTCCATGAAAATGAGTTGTGGAGGGAAAGAGATAACAGGTGTTTATGAAAGTGGCAGTGTTTGTTATCACTGTGAAATAAGAGCACATCTCAAGAAAAGTAAAATTATCTAAATTATGAGGGAGGTGGTTGAACTCCACAGTGGTGACATTTCAAACTATAAATATTGGAATGAAGCAAACAAGTGAATAATCCCTTTCCACAAAGCACTGCTCATAACAGCTGACATTTCCAGGCCCTATTTCAGTGCCTTGCTGTATGCTAAATACTATTGCTACATTAAAATATAAATTTCAACTTTGAAATGTTACAGAAATAACTCCTCATTACCTTGAGGAACAACCTCGCTGTCAAACAAAACTAACTCACCAGCATAAACCAGCTTGTCTTCTGATATGGATGAACTGCGAAGAAATAAGAAGACATCTGTGCAGAGATAAAGAGAACTGGAGTAGGGTATTATAGGGCCCTTCAGGTGGAATCTGCATGGATTATTATTATTATTAATTATATTTCGTCTTTGTTGTATTGAACCCATTGACTGCTGTGCATCCGGTTTCGGGCAGGGAACATCTGAGCTTGATTAGTAAGAAGTACTTTTAATATTTACTCTGCTACAACCCAAAGCAGTTTTGCATTTCAAAGGGATTCATTGTATTTATTCCCTCCTTAAACAACCTATTTTTCAGCTGAAGACAGGTTTTGTATAATGAAGTGTAAATACCTAAAACCAGTATCTCCTTCTGTTGAGGATGTTACCTGCTGATTAAAACAGGGATCCAGCTCAACTGGGCAAGTTGCTGCCCATCTCTCTGGGACATCAGCACTCACGAGATGAGATTGTCTTGGAGGCCTTGTCCAGCCTTACTGACTCTGTGATCCTACGTTGTTTTCCATGAAGGAGCTGTGTTTGTTTATTCTCACACTGCTTTTGGTCTTACACCCCTTCTCCAGCTCAACAGTTCCAGCTGAGTACATTCCTGACCCCAAGCTCAAGCAGAACATTTAATTGCTAAGAGGCTTCATGTACACAGAGCTATTAATTGCAATTAGAGCACAAGACACGAGAAGGCTTCATCCACTCACGTGGACTGGGGTTGTGAACTTATTTCCCATCACATGAGCTCCCTGTGTATTCCATGGTGGGCATGAAAGACACCAGTTATAATCTAGCAGCCCCGTTAAATTTTCCTCGGGGTTCCGCTCTGGTGGTGATTTCCTGAATGCCCTGTATGTGATGTTCTCTTTCACCCAGGAGTCACTTCCCTTGATAAACACTGATGGAAATGCAGCCAAAGTTAATTGATATCATTTCCCTTTTCCGTTCTGAGGGCAGTTACTCGCAGTTTTGCTCTGTTTGCAACCTGCCAAGCATCAGTTGTCTCAGAGGGGGACTCGCTCTGCCTCTCCCCACAGGCACTGTGTGACAGTCCCCTCCAGTCACCCACGAGTCTCTTGCCAGCCATTTTCAGGCTCAAGGGTAACATCAATCTTGTGATGGAAAACCTTATGAAAATGAAACCCTCCTTCCCTTTCACACAACCCTGTGATTTCCCACCAGAGACGCTTCCCAGAAAACAGATACTTCTGTTTTAACCAGAATTATTTTTAAAAAGGTACTTTTTAGAGGTTTAGTTTGTCTTTTAAGAGCAGTGGTATCAGGAGCATCATCACAAAGTCTGTCAGTGTTCCATGCCTCCTAAACAGAGTTGATAGCACTCCTCTGTCTCTTACCAAAACCCACCCAATACTTAGTGACAAAACCAGATTAATCTGCTCAAAAATAACACTAACAATTCATCAAGCTTTTTACAGCACCCGATATAGGAAGATAAACAGAAAATTTATATGTATTTTTATATTGCTTAACTTTGTTTATGATTGCATTATGCAGGCATGCCTCTGGTTTACATACAATTTCCTTGCTCAAAGCCCTCCCAAGATTAGTGAGTGTGTCAACATGGGTTTGTACAAACGCAGCCCTCAGGGCCAAAACGTGGAAATTCTATGGTAAAAAGCCTTAAACAGTGGGGTTGCCTGTCTTGTTCCTCCTGTGGGGAGATTTTATGCTACTTTACATGGATATTGTGATTATGTGTATTGCACTCAAAAAATATAGGGAGATGCCTACAGAGAGATCAGTCCCCAGGGATTAACCCACAGCCAGGCTGGGAAGTGAGTTAGATGCCTAATGGGATTTTCAAAAGCACCTTAATAGGTTAAGCATCCAGTTACCCTGAGATTTAGGAACCTCATTTTGTTTGCGTTAGATTTTCCTTTGACAGTGCAGTGTCTGGGGGCCAACTGCATTTCTAAGGATACAAAGACCTCTGGAAACTGGGCTTTTAGCAATTTTTCAGGTAGCACGTGGTGTCAGTGAGCAAATGCAAGATCTCTGTAGGCCCCTGGCAGGGACTCTCTTTTTGGAGCTCATTCTTGGGCATTAATGACATTTCAGTGCATGAGAATGGCCAAAAATACCTGCAAAATAAAGATATCCAAAGTGACTCCTTGGCCTCCTCATTCCACATTAAGTTTTATATATAACACATATTAGAAATAACACATATTTGTAATTATTATTTGTGGAGGGGAAAAAAAGGAAAACTTAAAATCCACTTTAAATTTTGCCTTTAAAAGACTGAATTAAATTATCTCATCTGGAGGTCTTATTTATTTCCTATAGTGGCTGAAAACTTCCTGTGCATCATATTTATTACTCTTTTAAACCCCTCCTTTAAATCTCTGTGTCCTACACTCCCTCTTGTTTTTCATGGAAATTTTTACCATGAATTGAAAGGAGCAGACAGGGTTGGGGTAAAGGATATTTTATTTAACTTGGCCTCTGCCTGGACCTACATATTTGTTTATGATTTGCAAGGTTCCTGCTTTCATCCAGGCAGAAAATAGTTGCTAAGCAGCAGCTTTGCTTGATAAAAGGTAGAGCCAGGTCCTGGTGCTGCCCTGACCTGTGCATGTGGTTACTCCCAGGGCTATCCCAAGGAAGGTAGCTTGGACAAACCTCCCACCTAAGGACTGCCCTGGCTCTGTACAACTCACACAGCGTCTTGGTTTGGGCTGGGAGAGAACTTTGACACACACAGACATATATATAAAAATATAAATTGTATTTGTGTTCTTGTATTTCTGTATTCTGTATTCTGTGTTCTGTATTTCTGGGTGTGTCAGTACGCACTGATGTAAAATCTAGTGCCTGTCCTCTCAAATGCAGTACTTTACCTACCCTGTGCTGGTGGTGTGAAGCCAGTCCACAGATTTTTGCCTCGGAAAAATCCATCACAGAAACCTGACATCGGGTTTTTGAGTTTCCTGCAAAACCAGAGGGGTTTATATATACCTATATAACATACAGACATACATAATAGACACGTGAATATATCTATACATACATTATATATACACACACACAGAATATACACAAGAACTGCCAAGTCATGCCTCCGCCTTTCTTGCATCGTCATGCCTCTGCCTTTCTTTTTACTAAAAATAACTCATTTTTTTAAATTTATGCAAGTGTGTGAGATGAATGAAACTGTAAAAATGTTGGAGATGTCACTCATCAACCCTTCCCCGAGTTTTTGACCTTGGACACAGCGGCCAGGAGGATACATGCTGTCCTCTCAGCTCACAAAACAGATCAAAAGCCTTAGAGGTGATGAGTGCAAATATATGCATTTCATATATTTATCATGCAAATACAATATGATATGTGAATATTGTATAATTAGTGATGTGACTTCAGCAAATCCAAACTGCTGTAAAGCCACTGCTCCCACGTATTCCTAGAACTGCAAATGATAAATTCATTAAGGTTGGAAAAGCCCCCTAAGGTCATCGACTCCAGCTGTTCCCCCAGCACTGCGGAGCCCACCACTAACCCGTGTCCCAGGTGCCACAGCACTTCCAGGGACAGTGACTGCACTGCTGCCCTGGGCAGCCTGTGCCAATGCCTGCTCACCCTTTCCATGAAGAAATTTTTCCTGAACTGGTGTGCATTCACCTTCAGAGTGCTTTATGCAAGTTTCCTGATTGCCAGTGCTGCTCCTCAGACAGGACTGGAGTGCCTGTGTGCTGGAGCCTGTCCTGGGGAGCCCCTCAAAGCTCTGCAGTGCCACTGGAGTGCCTGTGTGCTGGAGCCTGTCCTGGGGAGCCCCTCAAAGCTCTGCAGTGCCACTGGAGTGCCTGTGTGCTGGAGCCTGTCCTGGGGAGCCCCTCAAAGCTCTGCAGTGCCACTGGAGTGCCTGTGTGCTGGAGCCTGTCCTGGGGAGCCACTCAAAGCTCTGCAGTGCCTTCTTTAAACCTGCCAGAGGGACTTGGGTTGAGGAGAGGTGTCCTAAAGTCCTCACTTCGTGAGCCTGACAGCAAATAGGCCAGACTGCACCCCATAAACGAAGCCATGAAGTTCCCCAGGCATGGCACAGATTGCAGGGCACTTGGGGCAGCTCCTGTGGTTTCTCCACAGCTCGGCATCTTTCCGTGGATAATGAAAGCGTCTGGCTCGGCCCAGCAGGCACCTGGGAGATGCTGGGAGCACAAACTGCTCCAGCTTGGGATCATGGCAGGGACCCAGGACAGGAATGACACGATGTTACTTCAGAAGAGCACAAAGAGTTCCCTTGGGAGGCACATCCAGGTCAGGTTAGACCCCTGGCACAAAGTTGGAGCAAAACAAAACAAGGTTCAAAAACAAGTACACGAAGATCAGGTTGTTACAGCTCTGAAACACCACAGGAAGAGGCCAAGGAAAAGCTGCTCTTAATCATCAGTGGCTATTTTGCTAATCCAGATGGGATTACACAAAATACTTCAATGAGAATTTCACTCTCACCCTCTACCTGTATTTATTATTTTTTCCAGCAGACCCACTTTCATAGTCTTTCATGTTTAATTAACTATAAATGAACACATTCCCAAAAAAGTGCCAGGGTAGCCTGACATTCTCAATTTTCCCCACCACTGCTAACATTAATTTGTTTCACTATATCTTAAATAAGACAATTCCGGTACCTCTAACCTGAATTTTAGATGTAATCAGATATATATGTTCCATATTCTATCACATCATGTCAGTATCTGAGTTTAACACAACTTCTCACAAGTTTAACACAAACTTAATGTTTGGCCCAAATCTTGGGCAGTAAGTTCTTGGGAAAACTTACTGCCATTTCTCTTTTAGTGTTGAAAAGCAGAACCGATTTAAAGTGTATTTTTAAACAGCCAGTGGGAAGTTAAAAAGAGAAGTCACATGCATGACTCATGGTCCTGGAAACAGCTGTGCTGCTTTTGGTGACAAAGGGCTGGTTTAGGCCTTATGTAACTCCAGGGAAATCAATATGCAGCAAATGTACTGACCCAGAAAGGAATCTGAGCCCAAATTAAAAAAAATGACACAAAGTGTCTCATCTCATACCTTTAACTGGGGGTTCTTTGTCCCCCAGATACCTCACTCGCTGTGGTAAGGGATGTGCTGGCAGTAGATCGGGTCACTTGTAGATCAGAACAGGTTCAGAGTCCATCCCTGCTGCACTGTGAGGGTTTGACAGCATGAGGAGTATGTTGAGCCATTAAAAAATCCCCAAATTCAGGCTGCACCCACCCTAACTGTGGGCAGCTTCTGGAGAGATAAAAAGGGCCACATTCCAGCACCATCCCCCTGGAATTCAGCCTCCAGAGACCTCTGCAAGTCCAAACCTGCTTATTTCCACACCTCCAAGGTACTCAGGAAACCAAAGCAGCAATGCTGGCTGGCTCTTTCAGGCCCAAGTTCTGTTGGATACCAAAAATGTTGGACCACGAAGGAGTAACCTCTTCCTCAGTACGTATTTGAAGTGGTTATTTTTGTGCCTGGCTGTAGCTGATTTCCCAATACCCCCGAGAGTTCTATCTGCTGTTTATGGACACTGTATTCTTCTCACAGATTATTGGGTACTGTAGTACTCAAAACTAAAGCAAATCCAAGTATCTGAGATACATATTTAGCAACCCCAGGCCTATTTATAGGCCCTCAGGCAAATGGTCCATCTCCCAGACACCTGGGAACAGAAAATGCTGTTTCGGGAGAGTCCATGAGCCCCTTCCTGTGGTCCCTCCTGAGGCAGGGATATTAGAGGATACAGCTCTGACTGTTCTCTGGAGTAGCTATTCATGTACCTGGCATCCATGAATTTGTGCAATCCCATTTCGAATCAGCCTCCATCACCTCCTCGGGACACAAATTCCACAAGGTCATTACATGTCATTCAAAGAAATGCTTTCTGCAATTAAAGTTTCAAGTCTACCTCTTACCTGTTTCAACCTCTGTTCCCTATTACTGAGGCATTTAGGGAATAACAGTTTGTCATGCACCCATCACCTTCATCCAAGGCCAGGCTGGACGGGGCTTGCAGCAACCTGGGCTAGGGGAAGGTGTCCCTGCGCATGGCAGGGGGTGGGATGCACGTATAACGTCTGTCATATTTCTGTTTTCATAGAAGGAGATCAGGATCATCCCGAAAAAATTCTCTCCTTTCTTTGTTATGAATGGAATTCCAAGTGACTGTAGAATAGTCAGCCCAAGTAATGCAACAGGCTGTGCAATGAGCTGTTGTAGATCATCTCTGCTTTGCTTGTACAGCAGCAAGAAAGGGATCCCTTCTTGTGACAGCTGTTGTCATCCCTTCCCCTTCTCCTGAAGGGAATGCTAGTCCAGCTGCAGCTTGTGCCTCTTCCCCACTAGCTCATCTTCTGTATTTCAGCCTTTTCAATCACGTGGCCACCACCAAATCCCAGTGCCCTGAAAGTGCAGCACAACACCCAGCCAAAGGCACACTGCAGTGCCATCCCTGTCCCTGGAATCCGCAGGCATCTCATCCTCAGCCAGTGCCCGGTCCCTCGGCACAAAGAAGAGGCAGCAGGTGAACGATCCGAGGCTGTTCTGCAGAACTGACGTGCTTCAACCACCCAGACTTAGGACGTGTGTTTCCCATGCCCAGGACTAGGTCTCCCATCTCCTGTTGCTCCGGATGCAGCAGCAGCTGCAGGTACAGTGCAGGTGGTGTGAGACAGGAGAGCCAGTCTCAGCATCTGCCAGGGGAGCAGTGACATCCAGCTGCTCCCTGGGCTCTGCTCGGAGGGACGGAGGGAGCAGCCTGGAGGCAGGCAGAGAGAGTTCCCAAGGAACCAGTGTTGAGAGGTGTGGTGGGCAAGGATGGGTTTTCAGGCAGAGGAACCAGAGGTGGGCCTGGGAATGTGAATGCAGACTGGAAAAATGGCCGTGGATAATAAGGAGCCAAGCGAGTCCTAAGGTAAGGAGGAGTCAGGATTGGCCAAGTCAGGTTTGTCAAGAGATTTAGTTTGTGGATAAAGATGGACTGAGTGGAGAAGGCTGGGGAAAGACTGGGGGAGGGGTACTGCTGACAGCAATGATATCACAAGGTGTCAAATGATATCTCCTTCATTCTGCCTGTTTGGTTGGGTTGGGTTTGGAGTTTTTAATTCTGAAATTGAGAAGTTCTGGAAAGCTTGAGATTGTTTCCTTGTTCTGTGTCCTCCACCAGACTTATCACTCTGACCATGCCATTAGCTACTCTTTCCCCAAATATGCAGTCTGCAGTCCCAACATTTAATTTTTCAGGGAGGTAGCTAGGAAGGATGGGAAGATACTACAGCAGTACCTGCAGCCAGCCAGTTATTTTGGCCATCAGCCTTCACTGACGACTTAAAAAACCTCAAGTGTTTTATCTTATCCAAATGATAACACATCTTTCTGGATATTTCCTCCCAAAAATCATCCTGGGTTATTCATGTTAATAAGTTGGTCCTGTTCTAAATAGTTATATAAAAAAGACACGTATGTGCATGAGTCATATTGCTCTTTGCATCACTCCAGAACGATGGCTTTAGGGTGAAAGTGTTGATACAGAACCTGGGTGTTCCAAATTTAACTCAGTTTTGCTCCATTCTTCCTTTGTGACTCGAACCAATGACTTGGCCTTTTTGAGCCACAGCTTCTTAAGCTGCAAAATGAGGTCTGTAAATCTCTGTGAGCTGCTGTGAGACTGCAGTCATTCATTTTTGTCATGGGATCAGAGATTACGGTGGGGAAAACTTCAAGAAAAGTAAGTATAGCAGAATTCCAAATAAATTCACTCATAACTAGGGAGTGACTACTCCAAAACCAAGAGGGAGCCAGCTTTCACTTACAGATTTCAAACTGGACTTTATAAGTGGAAATGCCACTTCCCCTTTCCCATCAAACACATCTTGTTCATTTAGAAGTGAAAGGAAAAGATAAGGCACCCCATAAAATACCACAAGGTAGAGCCACTGGGGATTGTTCTTCCTAATGAAGAGGCAGTAATTTACCACCTTGGGGTTTGCCAAGTGTCATAAAAGCAGGCAATGAAAATTACTGAAGAAAGGACACTCAGAAGACAGACCATAAATGAACAAGAGGCAAAAATTAAGAGATGAAGATAGATTATCAGTTCTGGGGAAAAGCAAGACAACATTCTCAGTTTCTTTCCAAACTTCAGGCCTCAGGACTGATATAAAATGAACATCTGCTTTGTTTGCTCCAGTACCTCCTAGAACTCACAAAAGCTGAATACACACTCTGGTTTTTGGAGTGGCCATGTGATTTTTTGAGTCAGAACACAGCTTGCAGAAAATCACTAATGCCTTTTCCTCTTGTCCCTAAATACCTATGATTCCTAATGTGGGAGACTTGAGTGGTAATTAAGGATGTAAAACTGTAAGTAAACCCTGCTGCAATTACCTGAGTAATTTGGTTCAAATCTACTCACAGGGCTGATGGAAATGTTACTACAGTCAGTTCTTTCCCACAGTTACACACGGGCCCAGTTCTCGTTCCCACTGAGTTCAAAGGTGAACAGGCTTTCAACTGACAGGAGCAGGAACTTGCTGTTGGTGGCAGGGATGGCTGCGGAGCTTTGGAGCTGGAACAAAACACACACAGCAATTATCTTGGCACCACAGCATCTTACAAACTCTTCATCTCACATATGACAATAAGTGAGCCCTTAACACCAGGGTCAAAAGACAAAAAGACCAAATTTCATCTCAATAAAAATGAAGTTTGTTGTTTAACTGCCTCTGGTGACTGTGCTGGTAGGTTCACACCCAGCCTGTCAGGATGGCACTGGGGCATACACATATATTCAAAGAACTCAGCTGGGCATCGCAGCCAGCACTGTTCACGCTCCCAGGTAACACGAGGCAGCCTGGAGCAGTTATCACCCCCTGTGCTGAAAGGATGGGGCCACGGAGTGGCACGCATGACCTTCTCATGGGATCTGCCGTGCTCAGGAGAGCAGCCACACGTGGCACTGAGCGCATGGGACATACTCTTGGTGCAGCTTGTTCAGCCCCGCGGGCAGAGTGCTGGAATTTTAGATCTCTCCAGCCTTTCTGTCCCCTCCCAAGGCTGTGTGGTAATTCAGACTCTGGAGGGGAGACACTGGTGATGTAGGAGAAGTATTTCTTGCTCCAGATGTGCTCCTTGCACTTTTCCCTGTGCTGCTCTGGCCTACCATAACATGACCCTGATGAAATCAAAGAGAATCCACGGCTCAGGTTATTTTTTCAGACACTGTCAGTACAAAGTGAGGACACAGTTACACTAAATTTCCGTGTTCTTTGGAGTAAATGGTGGGGTTTAAGATTAATTCATTCCTCTTGATCAAGAAACAGTGTAGCTCACCTTTGGCTTGTTCCTGTGCACATGGGAAAAACAACCCTGAGTTGGGGTTCTCATTAACCTCCTGCCTCCCTGCCAGCAGGGATATACAGCAGGAATAGCCTTCCTTTCACGGGACAGAAAGGTTTGCCTATATTTTTCTTCCTTTTTTTTCCCCCCTAATTAAGTTAGTCATAACATTATTGTGGCTGAAACATGTAAGCAGAGGTAAAGTAACTTCAGAAATCTACTCTTCTGCTTGTGCAGAGGTTACAAATGCACAGTCCAGCTCCTAAATCAGTTTTGTTCTCATGGCTTTATGTTAGCATTAACTAAAAAAATAAAATGGAGGGACACTGAGCTCTTCTGTAAAGGCTGAAAAAAGAGCTTTGCTTGTAAAAGAGATTTCACAGTATTACTTTCCTTAATATTTGAAGAAACACTCATAATTGAAAATTTCTAACTCAGTTTAGTCACATACTGATTTTCCATTAGTAATGATGTAGCTTCAGATGGAGAAAAATATAAAGAAGGAGAAGCAAATTGGGAGCTCCCAGGCTGCAGTACAGGCAGCAAACACATTTAGTAAGTGCAACCCCAAGGACAAACAGTACAAAGCTCTTACTTGCAGGCACAGTCAGAAGCTGGCAGAAAGCTGAGGGGTCAGGAAGGCAAACAATTCAAGTGCAAAGTGTTTTATTGTAACCCTCTGAACAGGATGTTTCAGCCACAGAAACTATTGTCCTTATGGAAGCACAAAAGACCTACAGGTGTATGGAAAGAATCAGCATTTTTATAATGTACAAGTAGAACATATTTGCAAATACCACTGCCCAGCAACCATAACTTAATGCAGCTGGAAAGCATTGAATTTGAACTGCTCCTAAATAAACAATAACCACATTCCAAGTTCTACAGGAAAGCCATAAACTAGAAATTTGTTAACAGCTCTTGAACATGTACAGTCCAAAGGATCAGACTTTAGTCCAGCCTCCTTAAAATCACAGAGTCTCTGACTGGTTTGGGTTGGAAGGGACCTTAAAGCTCATCTCATTCCACCCCCTGCCCTGGGCAGGGACACTTCCATTGGACCAGGTTGCTCCAACCTGGCCTCGGACACTTGCAGGGATGGGGCAGCCACAAATGTGCCACTACATTTGCTGGGGATTGAATCTGAATATCAGCTTTTGATTTGTCTGCTCCAAGAATGATGACAGGACAGGTACTGCTTTGAACACTCCCACACTTGTGAACTGATGTAACATCTGGGTTACTGTCCCAGGCCAAGGGAAAATACCTTTTAACATAAAGAAAGATAGGACCTCCATGCCCAGAATGGGTCTGCTGACAGTTGCCTGGGGAGCATTGTCTTGAAAGAGTTCTAAAAGCTGTAATTTCTCAAGAACTGTAGCAGTTTTCTCTGTGCAATATATATCTGCAGCTGGGAGCTCACATGAGGCTTCATCCCAAAAGCTGTTGTCTTTGAGATGGCAGGATTGATCCTTCAAGGACAGGTAGTCAGAAGAAGGGGTTTTTTTAAGACATTAACTAGCAGCTCTCTCAAAATCCTCTGTACATTTTCTGTGGACTTAATCCAATGGAATTAATTAGAGACTTCTGTTTGCTTAATGGAAATGAGACAAGACATAATTTATAGCCCTGTTGTGGCAGACAGGCTCTGGCTTTCTGTCCAGCACAAATCAAGGAAGGTGACTCTGGTGGAAGAATGGGAATGAAGAAGGGAAAGATATTTACACTGTTCAAGAAAGATGAACAGAGACTTGATAGAGAACCTGCCTTCAAAATGTAAGGTCATGGCTATTAAACCTGAGTCTTTTAATACTCCTTCATAGTGCTTATAAATTTCCTACAATCTTTGCTCCCAAGTAAAGAATTTATCCAAGATCACCATTGCTTTGCCACAGGGGAAGGAAAGGAGATGAAGTGCCCTGCTCCAGAGTAGCTCTTATCAGCCAGCCAGATGGCAAACAAGGTGCCAGAGTTTACAGGAAAGAGTCCAGTGTGGACCATCAATGCCAACACAGCCCAAACACCATTAAAACGTCATTGCTAAGGACTTGAGAGCCAAGGCACAGACAAAGTGTTCTACACAAGGACTTCTACAAGCAGAATGAATTATGGAAAACCCTTCCAAAAGGCAGCAAGGAAAAGCTATGGAATGAGTAGACTGGTGTGAGAATTACAGAGAACAAAAGGAACCTTCAATTGCAATACATATCTATATATAATTTAAATATATACACAATAAATGGCAATTCACTACATTGTGTTGGGGTTTTTTCACTCATAGGAAGAATTTTCTATTAAAAACCAAACAAGGGCTCAGATCCTTGCCTGGTGGTGTCCCTGGCTCAGGTGCTGTCCTGCACTGAGCTGTGCTAGTCTGGCCACAGAGGAACACTGGGTGATGCTGGATTTAAGGACATATTGTAGAATGATTTGTCTTTATGTGAAGAGAAAAAGGTCTTGTTCTTACTTCTAGGACTAACCTATTATTTCTACATTTCCTCCATTTTTGGTGCGGCAATCCAAGCCCCGTATTTTGCCCCCACCAAATCTAATATTTTCCCCTCTCAGGTGGTTTTCACGACACAGCTTTGTCAGAAGCAGAGTTTGAGGTTATGACATCAAGGCTTTGCAATATCCAGAATTAACAAATGCAGCCTTTCCTTTAGCCATTAGATCTTTAGATGAGACATGTGGAGTCCCTTACAACGGGGCAGGGATCAGCAGAAGAGCCACGGCAGGGGCAGGGACACCTCCAAAGCACCTGGCTTTGGAGGAACACACCACCTGGATGAAAAGCAAGAGGGCTTTCCAGGAGAGGGCTTTCCATGCATTAATTGGGAATGCTGTATTTTCTGCAGTGGGAGACAACAGGTATGCAGAACATCCAGAGCTCCCCAAGCATAACTTTATTCATTTTTTAAAAAACAAGGTGTTGTTAGAGAAGTGCTTTGTCAAAGAAGTGTTCTGGACATCTTACAAACACTGTTATGGGGGAAGGACAGTTGTCAAACCAGGAGATCCAAGATCCCAATGAACTTCATGTGCTGCCCATGTGCTAATGCTTCTGGTTCAGCTCCCAGTAACTCAGTCACCTGCCATCAACTCAGTCCCACTAGCCCCTTTGAATAACGTGTTCTTCAGAAATCAGTTAAGATTTAGCATAAGTTTCATTGGGAAGGATTGCAAAGTTTCTAGCAATTTGAAATTAAAGTATTTGAATGTCATACAAGTCTTTTCCACCATCACAGGAAATACTGTTGTCCAGAACAGTGGTGTTCTAATGATGTAAAATAATTTCATGTTGATTACTAAGCAAGAAGCACAGGAAAAAAACTTTTTTTTCCCGAAGGAGTGAGTTTGGACCATCAGAATGCAACTGGCCCAAAGGAGACGCTGCCTGAGCTCCTGGCCTAGACATGCTTCCCAAAATCCCAAATATGTTCCCTGTCTACATGAAGAGAACTAGGAACACTCATCTGCTAACTGTGCTGGGAGGAAGATGCTACTCTTGCTCTCTGACGTCTCATGGGTAGCTGATAATGAAAATTGATGGTGATTCATAAAGACATCTCCTTTCCTGAGAAAACTGGAACTGCAGCTTGCGTAATCCCGAGATTTACTTAATTAAGGAACATCCCAGCTATTTGATCATGGTTCCTGTCTCTTGTCTTCACCTCCCGCTCCCTCCCAGCTTTGCCTTTGATTACAGTGGCCCTGATAAGAAACTTCATTCACAAAGAAAGCAGGGAGTGGGAAGGCAGCACTGAGGTGTGGCTGGTGATTTAAAAACTGAAAGAAGGCAGTGGGAATGCCTCAGGGAAGTCGGGATTTTCCTGTTTGCTGCAAGCAAAGTGAGAAGCTGGGGAGGGCTCAGCTGCAGGGTGGGCACTGTGTATCTCAGAGATGTGTGTAGGTGAGGAACATACCTAGAGCTTTAATACCTCTGCCTGCTTCCAATAAGACCATTATTTTCAGTATTTTGAAGCACTCTCTGCTTGAAATCTCAGAATCATCCAATTTCAGTGTTTTGAAACAAAGATTCTGGAAAAATGACAGAGAAATGGGTAAATATTATGTGACGATTATCACAGACATTTGACTGGCAGGACAGTGCAGCTGTATCTAACATAATCTACAGGTTTCCTATTTCCTGACCAAGATGGCCTCTGAATCCGGAGGAAGCACACGGGGAAATTGCACAGGGAAGTGTATCGCTGC